CAGTACTGCACTCTAACCACTGTACCACCATGGCTTATTTCTTAGACTTCTACCAACTACAATATGCAAGGCTTTTCATTCACATCTGGGTCAGTGTTAATAGAGCATCCTGAATATTTGATTCCAACATCACTATGACTGAAATCACAGCAGCTGCATTTTGATTCTTTCAACAGTTTGTCTTACCCTGTATAGATTTATATTTTTAAGAGAAAAGGATAATAAACACTACACTAATCACGTTTGGAAAAAGTAAATGTCATCACAAAATTCATTTGGATTGTATTTCGTGTTTAAATAAAGTGCAACTTTGTACATGCATTAAAAGATCAAGTTAGAAGAAAAGTAAACTGAAAGATGATCTGGGCTTTTATTTAGAATATAAATGTGCAGAATGAAAAAAAAGATGACTGTGATCAGCCAAAATGGGGAAAAAAGAGCTCACCTTCTTAGATTACATATATGCATTCACTGCAAAGAGATGCTCGACTGAGAAACCTGCTAAGATGGCTCACTATCTAAGGGAGATGGTTCTGTTAATTATAAAAAAGTATTCTTGTTCATATTGCAATAATTTTTAAAGTGGACAATATGCCTGAACAATAGTGTCTGCCTTTGTTTTTTTCCCTTTGGAAACAAAGTCATTAAATTGGGTTTGGTTATGTAGAGACCTTGACCTGCAATCATGATGATAATGATGATTTAGTATTTTAACTATTACCATTTTTATTTATTATAGTTTTAGTCTCCTGGTTGGTACAAAATGCAGCAGTGTGGGTGGTTGTGGGCATGTCTTGTTATGTTCATGCAAGTTTCCATGTGTGTTTCAAGGTGCTAAATTGTTTAAACTTCTACCCTCAAAACGATGCACATCAGAACAACTAGACACAAGGACAGTTTTTCCCCAAATTCCATCACTCTGCTAAACAACTAATTCCCACAACACTGTCATATTACCTACTAAGAATGTATTACTATTATTCTTCTCTTCCTTCCTAGTACCTATCTCNTTTTATAAATCTTATAAACAAACAAACGGAAGTTTTCTGGGAAAGCAGAAGTCTGCTTAATATGGTATACTGGCAACAAATAAATTATGTGAAATATTAATTATTAACATGCATAGTCCCTAATGAACTATGAACACAATCCAATTGACATGGAAGACAACAGCCCTGAACTGATCTTGATTAATCTCAAAAGGGCTTCTGGTAATTAATGTCTGACATAATTAGTATTTTACTGGAAGCAAGAGCGCCCATTTTGGGTTGGGACATATAAACAAGGTCAAGATGGCAGTAGTGACCACCTGGTTTAAACCCCACTGCTTTTAAAGGAGTATTGCCATTTTGACTTTTTACAGCTGCCATCTTGACTTTTTGACTTGCCCCTACAAATGCCCTTGATAGCCATAGAGAAAATCAGCAGATTAGATAGGAAAGATACAGAACCATCCAAGGAATCGATGGCAAACGCCTTGTTGCCACATCTATGAAATCATCAAAGAGTTGAACTTGAACTTGATACAAGAAGACATTATTTTTTGATATTACACAAAAGGAAACAAGCTGGTTGGGTTTGCCAGAAAGAAGATAACTTTCTATGTACAGAAAGTTAAAATGCAGTTTTGGACATCTCAAACACTAGGTTGGAAAAACATGTGTAGATGGGAACCAAAAAGGCTATGTCAGAGCATGACATACTGAGCCAGATGAAGGAGGGACAACCACGACCAAAGACTGCAAGTAGACCCTGATTATTTTGGCCTGTGTTACTAAAGTAACAAAACCAAAGATTAGGCTTGTGAGATTTAAACCAGTTTCACAATCAGTCTACTGCTCAGGCTTTGACAAATGGGAAAGGAAAAAGGGAAATTTTTGTAATGCCCTTGGGAGTCATCACTACATTACCAGATATTACATGTCCTTTGTAAATCCCTGGAGCCTGAAATAATAAGAAAAAAAAAGTATCCTGTGCCATTAATAAGTTTCCCATTCCTTGATTCAAGGCCATTCAAGGCTGTTGAACCGATGTAGCGGTTAAGGTGATGATTTAGGAGCAGAATCTATCCTCAGTCATGGAAACTCACCCATTCACCCAATTACTCTGGACCAGGCACTCTGTGTCCAACCATGAGCAGCTTTGAGCTCTTAGAAAAAAGGGTGGAATATACATTTAATGAACAGTAATAAACAAATGAATACATGTTGCAGACAGGATATAACAATAGGTGTTTATCATGTTTACTAAATGAAATTTCCCCAGCCAAAGGCAGTGAACTCTGAAATGGTAGCAAGAAATAGAGGAAGTCATTACTGCTCCTACTGTCTCTAATCCATCTGCCTCTGCCTAGTCCTCATTTAATGCCCACATTTGGGGCTGGAATCTCAGTCTTTGAGTGAAGCTGTCATTAAGTGACAACTCACATAATTGCCTCTGAGACTGCTTTAGTTAATCACTGCAATCCTGGCACTCCCAGGTATGAAACGAGATGGAGTCTCAGGGAAAAAGCTCAAGGTTGTGGGGCGGGGGAGACTCCGGAGCTGAAAATATTTCCTGCTGTAATTCAAGTAGGATTTTCATCCCCAGGGAGGGATACTTGCATTGTGGCCTGTGTGGGCATTCTAGGGTGTCCTACACCCTCCTGAGCCATCCTGTACTCCTTACCTTACTATGCTGCCTCTATGCTCTCTGCTTGGATTTCATCTCCCTCTTGTCTCTAGGAGGTGGGTGAAAGAGTTGGAATTCAGCTTCTGTCTAAGCATGGAAGGAATGCCTTTAGTCAGGTGCAGAACATGAAGTTCATTTCTGCACCCCATGAGAAGATGTCAGCTCTCCTCTGTGCATGGAAAATAATGCCTTTGGGGGGGGGGGTGAAGATCTTCAGGATCTGAACTCCATTTCTTCACCCTGCTGAAGGAGTTCAGCTCTGTCCATCAGCTATTTCAGCCAGTCCCCAGAGATTAGAGGGGGCTATCCTGGCAGGCAGCAGAAGCTTGCAACCTTTCCTGCTGGCTTCCCCATTGATATTTGGAGGGAGTTGGCAGAGGAGATTGCAAATGGTGATCATATGATCATGGCACGCTTAGCAACTGGTCATAATTGCAAACAGGTTGCCATTGAGATCACATCACCATAGGAGGGCATTGACATGACTTTCTATGACAGCTGGAAGTGCTTTATGGGCCACAAGGCACCCTTTCCAAGTTTGTTATAACTTTGAATGGCTGTTAAACAACTGCTCATAAGTTTGAGGACTGTCTGTATGATTGTAATGTTTTAATTCTGCTTTTCTATTTAAAAAGTATACAAAGAGCTGCATTTGTGAAGCTTGTTGGGCAACAGATTCTTCAGTCCAATCTTCCCTACCTTCTGGCTGGGAATTATGGGAACTGAAGTCCTATATATCTGGAAGATTTCAGGCCTTCACTCAGATTTATTTGTTCTCCATAACTAATACAGGAAAAGCAAGGTGTTTATGTGAGATGGAAGATTGATCAAATACAGAGTCTTTCCTTGATGATGGTGGGTTGGAATTGTGAATAGGGTGATCACAGGAAAATTAAACTGCAGAATGAACAATACAAAAAAAAAAGAAGCCTTTACAGAACAGTTATGGTTGATAACACAAACATGCTTGCATTGTGTAAGCCAAAGGAGACAATGAAGGAGCAAACCCATGCACACTCACCCAGGAGCAAACTCCATTGTGCTCACCTGGAATAAACTTCCACTGGAATGTGAGACTCCAAAAACAACACACATGCAGCGTTCCCTATTACATCTCAAGGCAGAAGGGCTGCAGGAAACATGACAGTATCGAACTTTTCACGGCTAGCAACTTCCTTCTCTTCATTATTATAAAATGTTTTTAAAGTAAGCAATGGCCTTGGAAATTAGTTTCATTAAAAAATATGGGATGAAAATATATCATTTCCAGGGACTGAACATTTTCAAGAATTGCCATTTAAACAAATAGGCAAGATTCTTTGCCATCAGATGCTTTGGGCTGTAATCCATGAAATTTTGTGCTGTAGTAAGTTGTTTTTAATGCGCACAACATTCTCTGCGCTCTAAATGCCATTAATAATTCTCAGTGACATCTGCAATCTGTGATAATGTGATGATATGCAGATCGAATGGTTAAATAGCACTTAAGAGTACTTCCCTAATTGGATGGCCATGGCTAGTAGTCTGGAAGTAAACTTTTCATGCTTGTCAAGTAGGGAAAAGGTGTTGGTATCGCCAGAGACAGAAGACAAATTCCCCAAAACTGACAGCTGGTAAATAACACACCCAACCTGCAAATACAAAGGCGGCTTCAAAGCCTAACTTTCCTTCTTGGTGTTTGCACAATCTACCCTGGAGGGAAAGAAAGGCAGGATGGTTGCAGTTTTAAAGAGGAGCAAACATTGGAAATGGAATTGAACTGGAATTGAAACAAAAGTGGAAACTGGAAGGAAATGCATATAAAGTAGGATTCAGTGTGTGGGGAGCAAAGCGCATTATACTTATTCATTGACTCTCTGTACACAAAATTACACCTTTGCGCCCATTTTAATGAACTTTAAGCAACTACCACCAACTGATTTTGCAGACATTGTCACTTAGCAACCATGGAACACCAGCCAGATCCATTCAGCTGCACATAAAAAGAGCAGAATATGGCACACTCCTTCTTTAGTTCCCTAGCTCTGCCTCAAAGCATGTCAAAAAAACCTTTCCCAACCTGATGCCCGTCAGGGAAGTTAGACCACACTCCCATTAACCATCAGCCAATGTGCTTAAAGAGCTGGGGATTTCAGAAGCACATCTGGAGTACAAGCACATCTGGAGGGCACCAGACTGGGACCCATCCAGGCTACCCAGCCATCCCAGAAGGCACAGTAGGAAGGTTGTGGTGCGTGAGGGGAGGCAAGAGGACAGAATCAACCTTTCCACTATTGCCCAAAGCCCCAAGGCTTTGAAGAAGAATGGAGAGAAAGAATGAAGACAGAGAGGTATCTCATCCCCCCCCCAAAAAAAAGATGCTCCCAATCTTAAACTGCTTTGTGACGCTTCAAGACGCTGCAAAAGTTTTTATTTGGGGGAAGCAAGCAAGCTAAAAATATCACCCAGTATATCCTTAGAAGCAGCAGCAGCAGCAGCATAACATCCCTGCTCCCACTGTAGCCCCAAATCTCTCTCTCTCTCTCTCTCTCCCTCTTTCTCCCCCTCTCCCTCCCTCCCACCCCCTCTTTCTCTCTCCCTCTCCCTGCCTCCGTCCCTCTCTCCTTCCCTCCCTCCCCAATTTGATTCCCTCGGCAGCCTCCGAAAAACTAGCAACTAGCTGGTTTCCTCCTTACCCGGCGCTTCTCTTCTTTCTTTTCCAACCTTCGCTCCTTCTTTTTTCCACGGCCTGCCGCTTCCAGCCCCGGATCACCAGACAGGCATCCCTTCGTGGCCAAACCTCTCCCTTTGGCTCCGAGGACAGAGGCGGAAAAGAAAACTGATCGTTTCCCCACAGACGGGCTGCTCAGGACAGAGACGCTCCCGACCACGCCTGCTCTTCCCAACCCCGAACGAGAAGGCACACTGGCGCTAGAAAGTGGAAGGAAGCCCAGAAGACAGCCCTGCCTGCGCTCCCACGTGGAAGGCGTGGGGGGAAAACGGGAAGGGCGCCGGGTTGAATCTCACGCGGGGCGGAGCCGGCATTGCCGTCCAGTCCTGCTGTTATGCCGCGTAGGACTGTGATCCAGGGTTTTCTGGGGAGGGGAAAGCCGCGATCCTACGCCCCGCTGCCCCGGGAAAGATACGTTTTCCGCCCCTCTTTGCATTGCGAGAGTCTTCGCACGAAGGGAACTAGCTGAATGCGGACTAGCTCTGCTGGGTAGTGGCATTGGGAAAGTAGGTGGGAGGTCCCGGGCTGTAGTAGAGGAATACCTGGAGTGGGGCTCTCTGCGTGCGTTGGGGTGGGGGGCATCGGTTCCTGTCATAGAGAGCTGCTCTTGCGACCACATTTTAACTTTGGAGACCTGCTGCCGATCCGAATAGGTGACCTTGTTTTGGGGATGGGGAGGAAAAGTTACGCACCACTACACGAAACTTCTTAAAGTAACTTTCTGGAATGTGTTGCATGATTACTTCAACACAACTGACTACTTCAGCTTCAACCACAACAATACAGGAGCACACAATAGATACAAAGTCAAGGTAAACCGCTCCAAACTCGATTGCAGAAAATACGATTTCAGCAACAGAGTGGTCAACACCCAGAATGCTCTACCTGACTGTGGTTTCATCCTCAAACTCCCACAACTTTAACCTTAGACTGTCTACTGTTGACCTCACCCCATTCCTAAGAGGTCTGTAAGGGATGTGCATGAGTGCACCAGTGTGCCTACCCTGTCCTACTGTCCTGTATTCATAATCATGTTTATACTTATATCTGTTATCTTATACATGCCTGACAAAATAAATACATAAATAAAAATGTTGCAAGTGCCTTGGAGATCTGCTCAGAGGTTCCTGTATATCTCTTGTCCTGTTGGAAAACTGCCATTTAGATTTTTTTTGTTACTTTATTATGGGCCCATCTTGTCCAGAACTCTTGACACTATAAAGGATTTCCCCCATCACTTGCCACCTGAACATGTTAATCAGAAGGCCAACATATTAATTTGGCAGATCTAAAAATGTTACTCTATTGCTGAACCAGTCATCCAGGCGAGGGTATAGAGGAAAAACTGCAGTTCATTAGTAGAGCCAAGCATTTCATGCAAAAATCTTAGGTCCAATATCTGGCATCTCAAACATGGCTAAAAAAAGTTATCAAATTACCAGCTTTACCAGTCTTCTTTGGGAGGTGTGGGAGGATCACTTTCTCTTTGAGCCTTTAGGGCAGGGGTGTTAAACTTGATTTCATTGAGGGCTGCATCAGGGTTGTGTTTGACCTCTGCAGCCAGGCATGGCCAGCTCAACATCACTCGTGTTGGGGGTGCTGAGTGCTCTGCCAGCAAAATTGGGCTCCGGAGCTCCATTTACAGCTGTGATGGCTTCCTGCAACCCTCTGCCAACAAAAACACAGCTTGGCAGAGCCGCACGTGGCCATCCCAAATTCCGTTTTTGCTGGCAGAGGCACTGTGGGCTGGTCCCTTGCTGTTTCCAGGGTGGCCCCGCAGGCCAAACTAAGCACTCCATGGGCCGGAGTGGGTCTTGAGTTTGACACCCCTGCTTTAGGGGATTTAGATTATAAAGTGACAACACTACTGACACTCTTGAACATTCTTTCCATTTTGCCTTTTAATATTTCTTCCATTGATAGACCAGCCAACAAGGGTTTTAAGCAGTGCTGTGGATATTGTGACTATAATTCTTAACCCATTTGGATCCGTAAATTTCTCCCAACCTTTAAAAATGAAAAGGTCTGAAAATGTCAATTCTGCCTAAGGAGGTTGGGGCTACAAATTGGGTACTGGGGTTGGGAATATGTCTGTAAATTGCCTTGCTCTAGTTTAAACAACAACAATGGCAGGTCTATAAATAGTCTCTATGGAGACAGAGCCAGTATGTGTAGTCATACAACAGGCTGGAGTTCTAGTTCTGATTTAGGCTGGGTGAATTTGGACCAGTCACTCTTAGTCAGCACTAGGAAGAAGGCAATTGCAAACCACCATTGAAATGTTGCCAAGAAAATTTGCAGAGACCTGTCCAGGTGGTTTCCTTCCTTCCTTCCTTCCTTCCTTCCTTCCTTCCTTCCTTCCTTCCTTCCTTCCTTCCTTCCT